AAAGAGATGCACTGGGATCACGAGGAGTGGCCCATTATATACGTTCAAGTTGGGAGGGGGTTTGGAATAGCTCAAGTCTCTAAGGAATTTTGGAAGCAAGGTTTCCAGGACCTTGAAGGGCTAGCTATTTTTGGGAAAAGGTCATTTATTACCATCTAATAAAACCTGAGTCGTAAGACCCTTCAGATGTATATCGGTGGGCCTTATGTTTGGGGGATGATTGCCAACATGTATCTTGGGGGTCAGAGATAAAGGAAGTTTCCAAAGGAATTTTTATATGTTAAAGTAGCTTACAGCATCCTGGAAGGAAGGGGTCTGACTAGGATTGCCTTTTGCCCTTAGCAAAGTGTCAACATCGAGGCAGTTGAGTCCCTAGAGAAATGTCCCTGTTTCAAGGACTTGTCAGTGGGCTGTAGGTGGTAAGGAAATTTCATAATTTTTCTTCTGCCTTTGTTTCCCCCATCACTGTTGGCTTAATTTAGCTCCACAATCAGTGGTCTGAAAGACTCCCCATGTCTGGAGGGTGCAGCAGGGTCCAGCCTTCCCCTTGTCCAGCAGGCCAGCAGCCCCCTCCCCTCAGCTCTGCCGCCTGCCCAGAGAGGGGAGCTTCTGCGATGGCGCCCCCCTCACTGCCCATCACAGGTGTTCACTTAGAGCACCCAAGTCCAGGTTCCCGACCTAGCCCTGAGGGCCTAGCTGTGCTCAAGAGTGGGCAGAGCCTCCAGAGGCCCAGAACCTGAAACCAGCCCAGAATGTGGGAGCAGAAAAGGCAGAGCCCCCCAGGAGGTGACGTGCTTTCTCCTCAAGCCAGTGTTTACCTTTGAGTCTGTCCATGGCCCTCTGAAGACACACAACTCCCACCGCAGCCGAGGGACCCACTGGCGTTCGACCTCTCCCCGAGGGGTGCAGGGGTAGGCAGGAGCACGAAGGGCAGAATGGGTTCTGCCACATGAGCACGGTCACCTCTGCTGCCCCAGAAGCCCCCACCTTGTTGGGCTCCGAGCGAGGCTGTCAGCCCCCTCAGCAGACCCCCTCAGAGCCTGTCGACCAGGTGTTGGGTGGGGTCTAGAAGGATTTGTGCCCCTTCTCCCAAAAGGGAGGTAGGTCTGGGGCCTTAGAGCTGCCCCAGCTCCAGGAGGGATGTGGTGATCGGCGGGCTCCGTCCTCAGCCCAGAGAGACGCCTCATTCCCAGTCTGGTTGGACAGGTTGAGGCTAACACCTGGGAGAACCTGACACCCCGAGCGGGCCTGAGCTCCTGAGCTCCTGAGCTCCTGAGCTCGGGCTGGAATGAGGGCCTCCCCCGCAGGGTGTGTCAGCCTCAGGGTGGGTGAAGGGAGCAGCCTCAGAGGTGGCCCCACCCCAGGCTCCTCCCTGCAGCCCCAGGGTCCCCAAGCAGACGGCTCTTGGGACCAGGAGGCTCCAGCTGATTCCCTGCTTCCCAGCTGGAAAGGCTGCTACAGAATCCCAGGAATGTGCCTTGAGCTCAGAAAGAAAATTCCCAAAATAACTTCTATAAATACTTGAGGGTAGGGACTGGGAGGGAGCTCTCAGCCCGGCCTGCCACTGGCCCAGTGCTAGGGGCTGCTTCCCAGGGCAGGCCTCCCCGCTCTCCAGAAGAAAAAGACATACACAGCCGGGACCTTTCTGCTGCCCCTCCCCTCTGGAGGACAGCGTCAGGCCCTGAATTAATGACGTGAGATGGTGTGTAGTAGCAATTCTGAAAAAGGAAGAGGTGGAGGGACCTTTCTTCTCCTTCATACCCATCCCAGGCTGCAGCCTTTGTACCCCAGCAGAGAACCTTGTCTTCCAACAGGGAGGGTCCCCCTCAGAGGGCCCCTCAGGCTGCCTGTCCTGTGGCCCTAAGCAGGTCGGTAAGCATGCACACCTAAGTGCCTCTGGTGACCCTGGCTCGGAACCCAGGACCCTCCCACCTGAGCCCTGTTGTGCTACTGTCCTGTGGGGAATAACCTAGCAGGCAGGAGCCACGGACCCTGGCCCTCTCAGCCTAGGATGGGCCGCATGCCAGAGCCCACCAGTAATGAAGCACAACCTCAAGGTGATGCATGGCCAGGAGGTGCTATCCTCGGAGGCTTCCTGGAGGAGCAGGGTCTTGGGTAGTTGAGATGAGGCCAGATCCAGGAAGGGAGGGAAGGAGGAGTGGATGAAGTTGGGAATTTCTGGGGCCTTCCCCCCATAGCCCTGCCCTCCCTGAGTGGTCGTAACCTCGGCCCCCTCTCAAAGGTGCATTGCTCAACGGCCATAAGCAACTCACACATTCCTTTCCAACAGCTGCGGGTAGCCGCCTGGCTATGGCATCTCCCAGGTAAGGGTCCGAGGCTGAGTCACCCACCAGCAGGTCTGGTTTCTCTTGGCTCAGGGTGCCCCCTGGCCAGAGTGGGGCAGAGTCATCGGGGACATTTGGATAGAACAGCGTTCCCACCATCTCCCTGGAGACCTATTCTCTGGGCAGAAGGGTGGGGGTGCCAGGGGGGTGATGGCGGGCCCTTGGCACAGCGCCAGGCAGGGGGCAGAACAGGTGAGACCTGTCTTCCTGAGGCAGGCCCTGCCCAGTTGTCAGGCAGCAAACAGCTCCAAGTTGCTACCAAACACGAACAGACTGGTGTCTCAGGCAGGTGGCAGCAGATCCCATTACAGGCCCTGGGCCTCAGGGCCCCGGCCTGACCCCAGTCCGGTGTCTCCTTTCAGGCTCTGAGGTCAGCACCCCAGGGTATGGGGGACGTGAGCTAACCCCACCCCAGCCCCCAGTCTTCGCCCCAGAGAGCCTTGCCCTCTAGAGAAATCTCCCCCTGCTCCTCCCTCCGACAGGACCCTCTGCTCATCCTAACCCTTTGCTGTCTGCCCACCGTGCGCCCTGCCTACGTGATTTCAAATTGATCCTTGCAGACTCTTCACAGTTGCCTACCAGGAAGTACCATTCTGTTCCCTGGTTTACAGACGAGGAAACCACAGCTCAGAGAAAATGGGCCACTGGCCCAGGGTCGGTGCACTTGTCAGTGGTAACGCTGGGAATCCAGCCCAGCCTTGGTCTTCTGGCTGTGGAGCGCCCTGGCTTTTTTCTCTACGTGAAACATGCGGAGGAGCCTGCTGCAAACCTTCCTGAGAGTAAAACCAGCAGAGCGTGAGACACACACACACACACCCGCCCCCCCGTTCCGCCACATCTGGCCCCTTCCCAAACACCCACACACTGCTGGAGAGCAGGGGTTTTCAAACTCCTTTTTAGCGGGAGCGCCCTCTTTTCAAACAAGATCTCCTGTGGAAGCTCAATCTAGAAAACGGAGTGTGGAAACCCCACTGCAGCCCCGCCCCCTGGCTGGGAGGCCCCGCGGGCCTTCCCCATGTGTCCTCTCTTGCTCCTTCATGGGCAGCACTCACAGGGCACAAACCTTCCATTTTTGGTGCTTAATTTTGGTGTCTGGCGGCCTGTCGTCTCCCCTGCCTTCCCTCCTCCCTGGGGGCCCTGTTCCATCGGGAGCTGCTCGGTGTCCAGCTCCCAGGCCATGCAGGCAGCACAGCTTCGCCCGGGGCCCTGCTGGCCAGCCCGGGCACTGCCCTCTGGTCCCGGGCGGCCCCGCCACAGCTCCCCTGTCCTCCACCCCATCCGTGTGGCGCCCTGGGATGAAGAGGCACTATGAATCCGGCCCCCCCTTCCTTTCCTGCCCCGCGGCCACAGGACCACCGGTCAGCACCTCCGGAGAGGGAGAGGCTTTGCCTCGGGCTTCCTGAGCACCATCTCTCCCTCTTGCCTAGCTCTCAGAGGACTGTATGAAATCAGGCATGTGCATCTTCCCCGGTGGGTCTCCATAGCAACAGAGGGCCTAACTGAGGAGCGTGGTGAGGAGGAAAATGTTCCAGCTAAAAATGTACATGGCCATCAGTGGGCGGGCACCCGAGAGGGGGCTCCAGGCATACAGAAGGCGGCTCCTCTCCCCCACCCCAGCCCCCGCCTGTCCAGGAAGCCGGCGTTAGGCTTTACCTCAGATCTGTGAATGAGAGGAGGCCCCCCACCCGTGCTGCCATCCCGTGCCTCATTTGAGGGCTGGAACACAGATCAGTGGGATGGAGCAAAGCAGCCTTTCTGGGACTGGAGGCCGAAGGGGGGTCCTGGTAACCCCCCCACACACACTCCCCACCCTGTCCTCCCATCTCCCTGCACCCTTCCCAGTATGAGTGGAAGAGGACATAGAAGGGACATTGTACCAGTTTCACTTCCCAAACTTTCGGGACGATTCCTGTCACTTCCTGTCTCTGCCAGCAGGGCTGTTGAAGGCAAACAGCAACACCAAGCTTCTTAGCCACCCCTGACCCATCTCACCAGAGCCCGTCCTTCTACCCAGCACCCGCCCTCCCGTGCCCCTCACCGGCCAGGCCAGCCTGGGATGGGCAGTAGGTCCCAGGACCCAGATGTCCCCGGGAAGACCACTGCTTGATGCCGCCAAGGAGCTGCCCCCACCCACCCATAAGCTTAAGGTTGTCGAGCCTGAAGCCAGGGCGCTCATTCCTCCACACGCCTGGGGCGGGGGGTAGCCCCTCGGTGCAGCAGCCAGGCCTCAGGGTAACGGACCCGCTGACTGGGAGCTCGCACGGGCCAGACACTGTTCAAGTGCTTGCCAGGTACTGACTCCCGCCAGCTTGACAGCCCCAGCAGCGGGTACTGCGGTCTTTCCCACTCAGAGCTGAGGAAACGGAAGGCCAGGGAGATGTAACTTGCCAGGATCCCCAGCTGTAATGGGGAGGCACAAAGCCAGGTCTGCTGACTTGAAAGCCCATCCTCGGGGCTGGGAGGGACAGAGGTCCCACGAGGGGGGTGATCTGGGCCCGGAAGGCTGGGCTGGAAGCGGGGCTAGGGCGGGGCCAGGCACGATGTGCATGAGTAACAGGAACAGTCACTTGATGGTTCCCGAGGCTGCCAGTCTGAGCCCTTTCGCCCTGATGGCCAGGACGCCCTCACTAACCTCGCCCTGTGCTTGCTCCCCAGGGTCTGATGCTGAGTCGCCTGGGCCACAAGAGTCTGGCCCAGAAGGTGCTGCGGGACGCCGTGGAGAGGCAGAGCACCTGCCACGAGGCCTGGCAGGGCCTGGGCGAGGTGCTGCAGGCCCAGGGCCACAGCGAGGCTGCCGTCGACTGCTTCCTCACTGCCCTGGAGCTGGAGGCCAGCAGCCCGGTGCTGCCCTTCTCCATCATCCCCAGAGAGCTGTGACCTTGCACTGCAGGGGCAGGGTGGGAGGGAGCCGCCCTAGGGGGCCTGGGAGTGGGGGCGGACGCAGGCAGGCAGCAGGGAGGTGTGGGGCCTCAGGGAAATACATCTCTAGGGAACCCTTCTGCAGGCTGCAGCCCTAGTTCTCCTCGCCTCCCCGACTCCAGCCCTGCTTTACCTCCAGGGCCCGCTGGGTCTGGGAGCTGCTCATCTGGAGCTGGGTGGACCAGATTTGCATCGAAAGCAAATCCCTTGCTTCTTGGGACTCAGCCCTGGTGGCGTTTCTGAGTAAGGAAGTGGCTGGGAAGCCACACCAGTGTGGGAGCATCTCCCCCAGAGTGTCCATGCATCATCTCAATGTGCAATGAGGGTCTGAGTCTCCTAGGTACCACGCCCCACTGTCTAGAAGTTCCCATGTTGTGCCTGCCGCCCTCCACATCCCCGATCCTGGATTTCCCAGTGACTTTGCACTGGTGTTAGCCTCGGACTTCAGCTCCCTGTTCTCCAACACCACAAAGATGAACCCCACAAACTGCTCTCTGTCTAGGTCAAGAGGGTTTTCCCCAGTTCCTAACTCAGTGCCTCGGGAGCCAGTCTGCTTGAACCCCAAGTGACTTAAAGTCTTGATGACAAGACTTGTTCCCTGAGAGCGCGGGTGGGGGAGCCTCACAGCTGAACTTCACCTCTATCTGTGCCTCTGTGCCCGGGAAGCTCCAGGGCCCTGGTCTCAGCCCCAGTGTCAGGACAGGGTTTTGGATAACTCTCAGGTCTTGCCCCGGGCAGTCAGGGCTTGAAGATTCTGCTGGTAGGTGGGAAAAGGATAGGATCTCTGGGTCCCTCTCCCAGGTTTGAGCTATTGGAGGATGCCCCTCTTTGCCTCATGAGACCAATTGGACCCCACTGCTCTTCCTCTCCGCTGCCAAGTGCCTTTGGGGCCTCTGGTGCCTGGCCAGGGGCACTGAGCACCAGCCCTAACTCCCCTCTCATTTCTGCCATGCTCATCTTTCTGGAACTATGCGCCAGCCCAAGCGGCCTCCTTAGGCCCGAGGCTGTAGACCCTAGGATACAAACATGGCAGCAGGACCTTGCATCAACCTCAGACCTTGCATCAACATACTCCTTCAGGCCTTATGTTTCTGGGCAATGGGTACAATGCAGGACCCTCTGGGGCTAATAATATGCAGATGGGCAGTCTCTGGGACTGACCCCAGTACCTCTCACCACCCACAGCCCATTTCCACTACAGGCCATTTGGTCCCACCCCCTTGCCTGAGGCCCAGTGGGGACTGTGGTTGGAGATCAGTGGAGGGGACAGAGCAGATCCCTGTCAGCAGGGGACCTGGGGCTGGTGGGTGGATCTCTTCCCTGATGGTTCCCCTAGCCCTGCTGCATGATGCTCTTGGAATTCTCCCCAAGAAGTTATTCCACCCCCACCCCCCAGTGGGGGGCCTTATCAGGGAATTCCTTTTTTATCTGCACTTTGGGTTTTAGTTTTAAAGCTCCATCTGGTACGTCTCTCTCATCTTAAGGTGTGCAGAAAGACTGGATGAGGGCTGCCTTGGCTCATCATTGCCCAGTCTGCTCCTCAGGGAGAAGGGGCTGTTGGAGACCCACCCTCCTCGGCCACACTGGCTCAGCACTGCGCACCCCCGGGTGCCTCCCAGAGAGGGCCTGCCCCCTCCTGGCCTTCCCCCATCGCAAGGGACACTGCAGATGACACCAGATCCTTCACCGCTTGGTTGAAGGATCTCTGCCTCGATGTGTGTGTGTATAAATAGAGATATATGATAAAGATCTATTTTTATTCTGAAATTCTGTTAGAAAAAAACTAAACGAGAAAAGCAAATGCTGTTGATTTGCGTCGGGGTGCCCAAAGATTGGTAGTCAGTTATTTGTAAGAGGACAGGCACCGAACGCGTTCGGCTGGAGGAAGCCTCAGAGGGTTGGGCCAAGTTGTGGCCAGTTTGAAATAAAGGCCTTGAATAAAGAGACCCTTGGAAGGAATATGGCATGTTCATTTCCTCCAACAGGTACCCCAGAACAGGCCTTGAGCACCTAGTGAAGAGGGAGTGTTGCAGGAAGAGAGGCCTGAGAAGTCACTGGGGCAGGCCCCACAAGTGGGGAGGGGTGAGGAGGAGAAAGGGGGGAGGGGCCCAGGAACAGACTGGGGGGAGCAGGGGGGAGCAGAGGGTTAGGCAGGTGCTGAAGCCCAGAGGCGGGCGGAAGGAGGCGGGGGGGGGGGGGGGGAGCTGCGTGGTGAGGATGCCCGCCACCTGCATCCTGATCAGCCGCCTCGCTGTGAAGTCCACACCACTACGCTCCCAAAACAGGTCGCACCCATTCCAGTCTGCTCCATATCATATAAACAGGCATCACAAGTTTGAAGGATGACTGAAGTGTGCAGCTCTGTTTTCTTCTTGTGCCCCAAGGGATCATCGGGTGCACCCCCCAGAGCTGCAGCCCTACCCACTTGGAAGAGAGCTGCTCTAGAGGCTTCCCCGAGGGCTTGGCCTGGCCCCCCGCAAGAACTTCCCACTCCCACGGCCTCTTGGGGGTCTGGCCGCCTCCACCCCCACCCTCAGCCCTATTCTTGGGGGGGATGCCCTTGCTGTTCCAGGAAGGAAGGGCCTTTTTTGGAACTGGTGGGGGCCCAGCTTCCCTTTTACTGTGATGCCTTAGGAAAAAGTCTGTAGTGATTTAACACTTAGTATCACATTACTTCTTTCTCACCCTTACCCCCAGCTCGAGGACCCGTGCCCTGACAAAGACTGCCTGAGGCCATAGGTGGTGTCAGCTGGTGTGCTCACCCTACAAAGACGAGAATGGAGGAAGGGAGGGGGAGGCCTTCCTCCTCCAGACACGAGCTGACCTTGGTCAGACGTTGGAGAGTCAGGCAGTAGGGGAGACCCAGGCGTTTCCTGACCCCCAGTTCCCGTCTGCAGACACCCCTTGTTCACACACCCCGTGTCCGATCCATGGTGCCAGAACAAGGGCTGGGGTCTGGGGACAAGACTCAGGGTTGCTCTGTTGCCCCCATGGACCTCCAGCACCCCCGGCACGCTCTAGGACACAGCCCTTCAGTATTAATAGTGTTTATCTACAGGCATAAATATGAATGGAATTTCAGCCACCAACACCCAGACTCCTTTCTGATACCAAAGTGCTCATTGTTGCATTTGCTCCCCCACTGGGCGCTCAGATGTCATCACCATGCAAATATTTCTGGGCCTTGGGAAGCTTCCAGCTAAACGAACCACCCCCCCCAGCCCACGCTGCCAGCCCATAATCAAGGGGCCTCACACACAAGCAACCTGTGGGACCAGCCCCCATGATACTGATCTGAAGGATGTGGAGGCCAGGAAGGCAGTGATGGAGACAGTATAAGGTCTGTCCCCGGCCAGAAACTCCTCGGAGTTTTTATCAGACTCTTAACAGTTACAAAGGACAGCGACCACTGGAGGTAGCTCCAGGAGAGAGACAAGGGGGAGCTTCCAGGGCCCGAGAGCAGTAGCTGCAGGGCATGGACCTGGGGCCAAAGCAGCCACAATCTGGCTTCTCGGACGGAAATCGGCAGCCAGCCCGGGCTCCAAGGCGCAGCTCTCCCGCGAACTGGCTCATCTCTTAGCATGGATGGGGCAGCCGTTAGCAGTGTTCTGCCTGCGCTCCACAATGTGCACGCTTGTCACGTTGCCCCTTTGGTAGTCAACAGCCCTGGCAGGTGGGCTTGGTCCCCATGAAAGGTGGAGAGGTCACGGTGCCTGAGAACCTAGGTCCTGGGGGACAGCCCGCGCGCCGGCCACCGCCCCCCCGGCCCCGAGGACCCGGCACAGCGCCCGCTCGCTGGCCGTGCAGAGAGCCACCGGCAGTGCCCGTCCCCGCGGCAGCGCCCTGGCCCCTCTGCGGTGCACGGAACGCGCATCACCGGGGGGCGACACGCAGGTCCGGGGGTGCCGCAGCGACACCCCACTGGCTGGAGGCCTGGGCCCTGGCTTCGGTGAGGAGGAATGGGTGATGCTCAGAGCTGCGGCCGTAGAGGACATGCCTTAAGTGAAGGTCACTCAAGAGGCTGGAAGGTCCCCAGCTAGCAGGGGGGTTCAGAAGATGCCAGGCAGCCCGGAAACATGACAGGCTCACCACAGGAGCTGTGTGTTGGGCCCTGTGACGCCACTGCCCTGCCTGCCGGCTGACGGGACCATGGGTGGGCTCCACCACCCAGGCTCGTCGTCTGTGGACGGGCCCACAGCCTGGGACACGGCAGGGGGCCCCCAGACTGGTGCTGTCACCGTTCTCCCGTTCTCTCTCACTCTCTCCCCCTCTTATTCTCTTCCTCCCTTAACTGTCATTGTGGACTTTTTTTTTTTAAGATTTTATTTATTTGAGAGAGGGAGAGAGAGAACATGAGAGCAGGGGGGAAGGGTAGATAGAGGGGGAGGGAGAAGCAGGCTCCCCACCGAGCAGGAAGCCCGATGCGAGACTCGATCCCAGGACCCCGGGATCATGACCCGAGCGGAAGGCAGACTCTTAACGACTGAAGCCACCCAGGCGCCCCCATTTGGGGACTTCTTTTAAAAACATGTATTGTTATTTTTTTTTTCTGAACCGTCTGAGCATAGGTTGCTTAAATCATGCCCCTCTACCCCTTAATACTTCAGTGTGTTTGCAAAGAACAAAGGTCACTGTCTTAGGGAAGCACAGCACGGTTAACAAATGAGATTCAACGCTGACCCGCTATTTTACCCCCCGTCCCATGCATAGGCCAGTTGGTCGCTCGTGTTCTTTGGCGCTTTCCTCCAGCCCCGCAGCACGCACTCCACTTGGTTGTCCTGTCTCTTTCATTTCGTTTCGCCTCTCTTTGCCTTTCGTGACAGTGACATTGCTAAAGGCCGCCGAGGGTCTGGCCTCTGCGGCAGGAGTGTGGCACCGAGGACGGGGGAAGCAGCCGGTGATGGAGCAGAAGCTGGAAAGAGCAGAAGCCGCGGGGCAGATGGAAAGGAGGGCAGCAGGGTGCTAAGGGCAGGAAGTTAGGAGCAGATGAATCTCCGCAAAAACAGAGCTCTCAGATTAAAAGAAGAGAGACGCCCCCTCTCCGAGGGGCCAAAAGACGGTGGAGGCCCTAGAGCTCCGTTCTCTCCAGAGCAACCTTTCTAGCCCTTGCAGCCTGACTCTGAGGTCAAGACGCCCCATCTGTAACTGTAATCTCAATTGCTTCGGCCCGGGGCCCAGAGGAAGAGGTCAAGAACCTCTTGGGTTCTGGGTTCCCTCGCACTTTTGTCTTCTGCCCAGGGGCTTACAGCTCACCACCCCACCCCCCAACAAGGCCCAGGGCTCAGTGGCTGTGGGTGGTGGCCTCCCATATGGCTCACACTCCCCCCCTCCACCCTGAGAGCACCCCGCCAAGAGTGCAGGGGCTTCAGGGGCCTGGCCCAGTGCAAGCTGGGGGTGTGCCCACGGAGGCTGGGCTGGGGCCAGGGCACCGTCCTGCATCCAGACAGCTCCTCTTCTCAGCTGGGAGTAGCACTCTCCTGGGGCCTTGCTCTCTTTCTTTCTCCTCCTTTTTCTTCCTCCTATGCCTCTGCCAGGTTTCCTGTGGCCTCAAAGATCCACCCCTGAAGGGCCTCTTCCCCGAATTCCTGTTGGGGCTCACTCCATGTCCCTCATTCTTCAGGACCCAATTCCCACACCTTCCCGAAGTATCTCTCCCTCCTTCCCCACTACCCACCTCCCACCATCCTCTTAGGGGACACTTACACTTTGTCAGAACACCCAGGCAAGCACGGGCCCAGTGGATTCTTCTTCCTGAGTGCAGCCCCTGCATCCCCCACACTTGGCCTCGGCTACACCTACTCGTGCCCTCATGAACGGGACCAGCTGGGCTCTAGGGAGGCTCTCCTGCCCCTGGGAGGCTTGGGCTACAAATGCAGAGCAAGGCCACCTTGTCCCCACCCACAGGCTGACAGCCTTCCCTCTCACCCGACCCCCATGCCATCCCAGCGCTTTATCCTGGGGGTGGCTAAGGCAGGGGCTCCGCAAAGGGCCACAGGCCTCCTGAGTCTCCTATGGCTGCTCAAGGGCCTGCAGTTGGGCCCAATCCATTTTATCTTCTTAATAAAGTTACACGTGTATTTAATCCTACTCTATAAATTAGCGTAGAAATATGCATCTTCACCATTAGGATCTTCACCTACACTGTAGATACGTGGGTCATTGGACACAGTTTTCCAGAAGCTTCATTTTCATTTCCATGTAAGTTATTTAAGACAGGGTACTTTTACTATACCTGAAACTAACATAACACTGTACATTATACTAGAATTAAAACAATAATAAGAGGGCGCTTTTAAAATCCTGGAATAATGTGGCCACTGGAAATTTTATCTGGAGCTAGAAGTACCTTCTGTAAAACACTAGGGGAGACTACCCCCTCTGCCCAACCCCACTTCCCATAATGCAACTTTTTTTTTTTAAGATTTTATTTATTTATTTGACAGAGAGAGACAGCGAGAGAGGGAACACAAGCAGGGGGAGTAGAGCAGGGAGCCCGATGCGGGGCTTGATCCCAGGACCCCAGGATCATGACCTGAGCCGAAGGCAGACGCCTAACGACCGAGCCACCCAGGTGCCCCCTCGTAGTGCAACTTTTAACACAATTACCTCTTAAGTGATCTAGCGAGAGCTTGTTTATAACGTCTAACACCTCCAACCTTGTGATCATACCTCCAGGAAGGACTTCTAAATCAGTACTCAATTTCTTTACCTCCTCTTTTTAAAAACTTACTTCATCAGATGATTTCTGTCAGCACCCAACACCAGCAACATCTAAGGTTATTCAGGCTAACAGCCATTCGCTAAATAATTCTTTGTGGTCCAAAATAATCAAAGGAACTTCCATAACATTTTATGCAAAACTTGTCCGTTTCCTAAAGGATAATTGTGTATCTTGGAGCATATGTAGTATTCAGTGAGCATCTACTATGTGTTAATGCTGTTCCAGGCACTGGGAAATT